ATATTTAAAGAAATTAAATAATGAAGAATCAGCAAAAGTGCATGTATATTTCTCGCGCTTCGAAAAAACATCGGTACCTACAGACACCAAATTTTTGTTGTCCTCCACTAGAATATGGAGATCTGTAAGCCTGTATTTGGAATTTGTTTTATTACGTATTACGTATGTTGTAAAACTTTAACGAATTTTTGACTAAGAAACTTAATGATTTCAAAGCGAACAATGGCAACACTGTACGAAAAAAAAAAAAAAATATCTCCAGCGCGTGAGACTGTGTGTCGGAAATTCTAAAGATATGCTCGTTTTAAAATTATTTTGCGATAATGCTGTTGAACTGAATTTTATGGTTTAAGTGCGAAGAACATGATATTTAATAAATAAAGGTAACACACAGAACGTTAAAAAAACTCCCCTTTGAACGTAATATAAAATTTAAAAGCTTTCAGATTTTTCTTTGGCTTGGGAAAGGCTACCTCAGGCAACCATCAATGAATTCATTGATAGCATGCCTTGCCAGATTGCTTTCATTGATAGCATGCCTCGCCTCATTGATAGCATGCCTTGCCAGATTGCTATCCATAAACTCATTGATAGCATCGCCAGATTGCTATCAATGAACTCACTGATAGCATGCCTCGCCAGATTGCAATCAATGAACTCATTGATAGCATGCCTTGCCAGATTGCTTTCAGTGATAGCATGCCTCGCCAGATTCAATGAACTCATAGCATCGCCAGATTGCTATCAATGAACTCATTGATAGCATGCCTCGTCAGATTGGTATCAATGAACTCATTGATAGCATGCCTCGCCAGATTGCTATCAATGAGTGAACTCATTGATAGCATGCCTCGTCAGATTGCTATCAATGAACTCATTGATAGCATGCCTCGCCAGACTGCTATCAATGAGCTCATTGATAGCATCGCCAGATTGCTATCATTGAGCTCACTGATAGCATGCCTCGCCAGATTGCTATCAATGAACTCGTTGACAGCATGCCTTGCCAGACTGCTGTCAATGAGCTCATTGACAGCATGCCTTGCCAGATTGCTTTCAGTGATAGCATGCCTCGCCAAATTGCCATCAATGAACTCATTGATAGCATGCCTCGCCAGATTCAATGAACTTATAGCATCGCCAGATTGCTATCAATGAACTCTTTGATAGCATGCCTCGTCAGATTGGTATCAATGAACTCATTGATAGCATGCTTCGCCAGATTGCTATCAATGAATTCATTGATAGCATGCCTCGCCAAATTGCTTTGATAGCATCGCCAGATTGCTGTCAATGAAATCACTGATAGCATGCCTCGCTAGATTGCACATTACATACTGAATAAATTGGTTTGTAATGATTTTATGTGTCTGTTTTTTTAGTCATTTGCATATCCATCTTCAACTGTGGATCTTGCAATTTTCATGACGCTGCGAGCATTCTTTCTTGGTGTTGCAATTTCACTTTTGAGGAGTGTATTTGCTATGTATAATATTCTCTGTATATTCATAACATCCTTCTTTCAATCACTGCATGTTAAGAAGAGTTATTTTAAGTAGTATTATGTGCGTGGGGCTCAAATGTTTATATATAAATTGCTTTATCAGTGTACGTCATTTCGGCGTTTATGAAATGCGTTATAGTCTAGCAAAAGCTGTCTCTTTTGTAAAAGCAGTTGGTATTGTTTTTATTTATTGCAGTTCAATAGATTGATCCTTAATTGCATGTGAGTGTACCTTAACATTGTAAGTTGCTTTCAAACAAAAATTGGTAAAAATGAATGTCTAGTAAAGTATCTTAAAGTTCTTTCCATGTTTAAAGGAAATTACAAAATTTCTTAATTTTCCATGAAAAGAATTATCTTTTTCTCTCAAACCAGTAGCTTTGTTACCTTCTGAAAGAACGTATTTGAATCAAATGTGTATCTTGGGGATCATACTTTCTGGAAAATAAATTTCAACAAACGAAAGCGAACTTGCGCATTAAAATGTGTTAGCATTTTAAGTTGCTTTCAAATAAAAATTGGTAAAAATTAATGTCTTGTAAAGTACCTAAAAGTTCTTTCCATGTTTTAAAGGAAATTACAAAATTTCTTAATTTTCCATGAAAAGAATTATCTTTTTCTCTCAAACCAGTAGCTTTGTTACCTTCTGAAAGAACGTATTTGAATCAAATGTGTATCTTGGGGATCATACTTTCTGGAAAATAAATTTCAACAAACGAAAGTGAACTTGCGCATTAAAATGTGTTAGCATTTTAAGTTGCTTTCAAATAAAAATTGGTAAAAATTAATGTCTTGTAAAGTACCTAAAAGTTCTTTCCATGTTTAAAGGAAATTACAAAATTTCTTAATTTTCCATGAAAAGAATTATCTTTTTCTCTCAAACCAGTAGCTTTGTTACCTTCTGAAAGAACGTATTTGAATCAAGTGTGTATCTTGGGGATCATACTTTCTGGAAAATAAATTTCAACAAACGAAAGTGAACTTGCGCATTAAAATGTGTTAGCATTTTAAGTTGCTTTCAAATAAAAATTGGTAAAAATTAATGTCTTGTAAAGTACCTAAAAGTTCTTTCCATGTTTAAAGGAAATTACAAAATTTCTTAATTTTCCATGAAAAGAATTATCTTTTTCTCTCAAACCAGTAGCTTTGTTACCTTCTGAAAGAACGTATTTGAATCAAATGTGTATCTTGGGGATCATACTTTCTGGAAAATAAATTTCAACAAACGAAAGCGAACTTGCGCATTAAAATGTGTTAGCATTTTAAGTTGCTTTCAAATAAAAATTGGTAAAAATTAATGTCTTGTAAAGTACCTAAAAATTCTTTCCTTCTTTAAAATTAAATAACAAAATTCTTTAATTTACCAAGAAAAGAATTATCTTTTTCTCTCAAATTTTGTTACCTTTTGAAAGAACGTATATGAATCAAATGTGTATTTCGTTATCATACTTTCTGGAAATTAAATTTCAGTAAACGAAAGTGAATTTTTGCACTATTAAAATATGTACTTGTTTTTCTGCCCCCAACCGGGATAGTGGTGTAATGTATTTTGCAGTAATTGACAAAACAGGAATTTATGTTCTTAGTAGAACATAAATTTCATTTCAATTAATTAAGACTGTAATGTATTTTGCAGTAATTGACAAAACAGGCCATCTTCTTAGTAGAACACAAATTTTATTTCAATTAATTAAGACTGTAATGTATTTTGCAGTAATTGACAAAACAGGCAATCTTCTTAGTAGAACATAAATTTTATTTCAATTAATGAAGACGGTAATGTATTTTGCAGTAATTGACAAAACAGGCAATCTTCTTAGTAGAACATAAATTTCATTTCAATTAATTAAGACTGTAATGTATTTTGCAGTACTTGACAAAACAGGCAATCTTCTTAGTAGAACATAAATTTTATTTCAATTAATTAAGACTGTAATGTATTTTGCAGTAATTGACAAAACAGGCAGTCTTCTTAGTAGAACATAAATTTTATTTCAATTAATTAAGACTGTAATGTATTTTGCAGTAATTGACAAAACAGGCAATCTTCTTAGTAGAACATAAATTTCATTTCAATTAATTAAGACTGTAATGTATTTTGCAGTAATTGACAAAACAGGCAATCTTCTTAGTAGAACATAAATTTCATTTCAATTAATTAAGACTAATGTATTTTGCAGTAATTGACAAAACAGGCCATCTTCTTAGTAGAACATAAATTTTATTTCAATTAATTAAGGCTGTAATGTATTTTGCAGTAATTGACAAAACAGGCCATCTTCTTAGTAGAACACAAATTTTATTTCAATTAATTAAGACTGTAATGTATTTTGCAGTAATTGACAAAACAGGCAATCTTCTTAGTAGAACATAAATTTTATTTCAATTAATTAAGACTGTAATGTATTTTGCAGTAATTGACAAAACAGGCAATCTTCTTATTAGAACATAAGTTTTATTTCTAGTTCACGGAGATAGATAATTTGAAGAAATTCTTTAGTGGCAAAACTTTCATACTACTACTAGCTTTTAAAAACTTCAGAATTCTAATTTTTTAACAATTTCTCACTTTGCTGAGCAACGGTTACATAATACAAATATGGCGTTGCCACTTCAACAATAAATATTGTTATTTATTAAATAACAAGATGTTACAGTGGTTAACGACGCTGACTGACGTACCAAAGGGGTCGTGTTTGAATCCTGGAGAAGGCAATGATGTTTGTAAATATGTAGTGCCTGTGCTGTATGGGGGCATTTTAAATTTGCGGCTAGCCGAAAGTCCTCTCCACAGGTTGGTGTTAGGGGAAGAGGGGTTGAAGATCCTCGGAACCGTCTTCCCGGGGGCTCTTCATCAGTATTGGGTGCGGAACTGAGCAAAGTCGTACTGTCTTCTGTATAGTGCTCAAGGTTCGTGCCAACGACAGGCAGTCTTGCAGTCCTTGCCACGATGAATTTCGTGGGCATGTTCTGATGTTACTGTCAGACAAGTGAGATAAGTCACAACAACACAACTTGTTTTTCCATGGATACCGAACTGGCTTTACGGATGATCATTCAGGGAATGATGTCGATGTCGATGGCTATGGCCTTGGGCATCTTACGTTAAAATTTGAGAAAATCTTCATTCTTTCTTTCATGTCATTTGATTAGCGAGCAGCATAATGGTACGCTGAATTAACTACATGAGATAAGCTTTGCTACTTTTGTCAGTATGAGTTTTGCAGATAAGTTTTACTTTTTCGTAACTTACGAGTTTTGTTGCATAGAAAAATTGTTTAAAATCAGTGCGTTATTAAAACAAAATGGTGCGTTAATAAAATTTACTTCTTTCACTAATGCCATGATTCTGAGATAATCTTGCTAATCCTTGATTTTTATACTGTGTGGTAATTGTGTAAACTTTTACACTTCCTTTTCATTTAGGATTTTGGCTGTTTATACCTTATAGTTTGTTATCATTATTCTAACTGATGTTCTTTTGCTTTTCTTTTAGGAAAATTCTTCAAAAATGGATACTGATCTCAATCAAACGCCGGCGTACTTTTTGCTGTATGAAAACGTAGAAAACATGAAAGAAATCAAAGAGCTGTTGCTTAAAAATGAGCTAAACGCAGCCGTTATAAATCCAGAATTTGTATATCACAAGGACCAACTTTTATTGGCTTGCCACAGAAGTTTATACAACGAAAAGAACAACCAGATGAAAACCAAATCCCTTTTTACAGAACTATTATACAATTTGTATCCAAACAGACGTATCAGTGAATCTTTAAAGACACTAGGCGTACAAGAGAGTGGTTCTGCAGCTATTTTTGTTGCTTTTCAGGAATCTGCGGTACAAAATCTGAAAAGTTTCATCAAAGGACAATGTGTTTCTCTGAACCGTATTTCTCAATTAAGAAATGTGGAATCTATCCGGAAACTGTACAAAGTACCAGAAAATATCAGTGACGAAAATGCAGTTTTAGGTTGTATATCAATGAAACTGGCAACCAAAGAATTATTGATATAAAATAAAGTATTTATTTATTTTTTAATTTGGGAGTTTATTTTTAATTCAGTTTAAGCATACGACATGAACAAACTGCTCTTGAAAGATAGTGGTTAGAGCCAGAACTCATAAAGGATCATAAAACATTCTAACGAACGAACTCAAAATCGTTAAAAATAGGACCATAGTTAAAAGCTTGTTTTCTAAATGTTATGTCATGAAATTGGGATTAAATGAATTACATACACTAATCATGTCTTGGTAATCAACAAATTCCAATCTTGTATCGGCCATAATTTCCGTATAGTTTGCTGCTTTTCAAGAAAAATTGCTTATGACAACGATAAAATTCTTAAAATTTGAATAAATTTAACGACTTCAATATAATTAAACATTTCTTACCTTGAAATTGTCCGATGCTAAGCATGCTTGTGTAGCCCGCTAATTTATTACGGTTTCGCCTTTTGGTTAAAGTTTATTTTCGATTCAAATATATTAATCGTATCTGAAATTAGCTAGAAAGTGGAAAACTTTAACAATATTGTTGTGAAATGTCAAGCGGTGTCAAGTTATATTAAACGCCAAAAATTATATTAAAAATATTATTAATTTTTCTAAAAAAATTAAGTAATTTTGATTATTTTCCCCGTTATAATTATTTCATATGATTTGTTTCTTACCACATGATATAGCTTTTATTAATACATAATTAATTATTAATTTTTATTAATGTTTTTGTAGTCAATGGAATCTTAATTATGGTGATCAATTGGCCGTGCGTATTTGGCTGTCGATCCTTTGGTCGTCACCAATCTCCTTTAAAATTTCATCGACCCCCTCAGGGGACCAATTCCGACCCCTTTGGAAACACTATGGAGGTAGGAAGTAAGATGGAGTTGCCATAAACAACTTTCTCCCGTAACCTGCTCTGAAGCACCGGCGATCCTTACGTGACCAAAACATTGGGTCATTTACCATTGAGTTCGATGGAAATTGACGCATTTGGATGTAAATATTTTGTAATTACGTCGTAAACATACGTACAAATGTATATATTTTCTTTTTCTACAACACTTCAGAGTCCTAAGTATATGAAAACAACACATTTTTCAACAACATTTAATTCTGAACGGAATTAAATGCTATACTTTTCACAGGACAGTTTTCTCAGAATGGTTTAATTTGAATGAAATATTTTCACAAGTTATCGTTAATTACATTAGAAAAAAAAAATTAAGGTAATTCGATTTTATTCGGTTCAGGTACAAAAATTAAGATCAAAGTTTATTGTATTATTAATATTAAAATTATGCATTATTTCTTTTCTATTTATAGAGTTTCTTCCTAAAATACTTTCTTAAATATGACATGATTTTTTGGCTTCTGAGGCATCTTTTAAATCGAAAAATGTAAGTCAATTTATAATTAATGCTCTATTCAGTTTTTTTAAAGTATTATTTAAAACTTGTAACTGAGTTATTATAAAATGTAAGGGGAATAATTCTTTTAATTATACTTATCAGATTTTTTTTTTACTCTTCATTTCAACAATACATATTCCAAAACTCTTTATTACTTTCTTAAGTGCGCATCTCATAGCATTTGCTTTACAATACCTTTTAACATATTGCTTTCCAATACGAACAATTCTTGCTTAAATAGTTTTATAACGTATTTGTCAACAGGATTTCAATTTATGTTTACAATTCAATATTAAGGTTATTATATATTTAGATAACATTTATAATCATTATAAATTAGATACATTTAATAATTAGATTTCTTCAAAGTACTTTCACAATTGTTTATAAGTGAATAAATTTTTCATTTCAAATACATTTATTAATAATTTAATGAATATTTATGTATTTTGTCAAAGGCAAATACATGCTTTTTGAAATAATATGCAACAATAATATATGGATGTGAAAAAAATTTGTTTTATTTAAAACATTTTGGCGTTTGGAAAATAAAATAAAAGTAGCGAGTACTCTATCAAGGGTATAGAAAGACGTATACAATTTTAAATGTACCGTAAGGTATTTTTCATTCTTTAAGCATGACATTTTTCTTAAAATCTATATTTTTATAGTTCAACAGCGTAGAATTTTATAAAACAAATTCATAATCAAAATCGCGCTGTTGTTAGTTATCGAAAAATAACCAAGATGTGATTTTTGCGTAAATGTCACTAAACTATACAAATTGCTATTATCCATCATACTATGAATGTTTCTTTCATGCGAAAGTGTCCCTTTTTCGATTTGTATGGAACTGTCGTGTGTCGAAATACTATCAGAACCGTGTCAAGTGAGCTTCTGAATGTAAACAAAGAACACCCCATCTGGTGACCCAAGCTTCAAAGTAATGCTTCACTTCTAGTGCCGACTACTCTACCTCCATGGGAAACACCATGGAGGTAGGAAGTTAGATGGAGTGGCCCTAAACCGGTTTCCCCATACCCTGCTTTGAAGCACTGGCGATTCCTTCTTTGGTGACCCAAACATTGGATAATTTACCATTGAGTTGAATGGGTTTTGAACGATCGGATGTAAATATTTTGTAATTAAGTCATAAATATGCATATAAATGTATATATTTTCTTTTTCTACAATACTTCAGAGTCCTAAGTATATGAAAAGAATACATTTTTAAACAACATTTCATTCTGAACGAAATTAAACGCTATACTTTTCACAGAACAGTTTGCTCAGAATGGTTCAATTTGAATGAAATATTTTCACAAGTTTTCGTTAATTACATTAGAAAGAAATTTTTAGGTAATTCGATTTTGTTCGGTTAAGGATTTCAAAAATTAAGATGAAAGTTTATTGTATTATTAATATTAAAATTATGCATTATGTCTTTTCTATTTATAGAGATTCTTCCTAAAATACTTTCTCAAATACGACAGGATTTTTTAGCTTCTGAGGCATCTTTTAAATCGAAAAATGTAAGTCAATTTATAATTAATGTTCTATTCGATCCATTTCAAATTAGAGCACCTTTTATTTTAATAGCGAAGTACTTTAAATAGTACTTAACTTTATCTGACTATTTCTGAAAGGGAATAAAATAAGGAATTTTTTTAAAATATTATTTAAAACTTGTAAGTGAGTTATTATAAAATGTAACTTTTAATTATACTTGGATTTTTTTACCCTTAATTTCAACAATACATATTCCAAAACTCTTCTTTATTTACTTTAAGTACATATCTCATAGAAATTGCTTCACCTTTTACAGATTGCTTTCCAGTACGAACAATCCTTGCTTAAATAGTTTTATAACGTATTTGTCAACAGGATGTCAATTTTTGTGTACAATTCAATGTTAAGGTTATTTAGATAATATTTATAATGATTATAAATTTAGATATATTTAATAATTAGATTTCTTCAAAGTAGCTTTCACAGTTGTTTATGAATGAATAAATCCTTCATTTCAAATACATTTATAAATAATTTAATAAATATTTACGTATTTTGTTAAAGGAAGATGCATGCTTTTTGCAAGTACATACATAAATACCCATACACATTTCATATTTTTCATTTCCGGCATGTGGAAATCTTGAATTTCTGTGCATTCACTATGTTTTTCGGATAAAGTAATTTACACTAATTTTAAAAAAGTACATTTTACGAATTTATGGATGCGAAAAAAATTTATTTTATTTAAAACATTTTGGTGTTTGGAACATAAAATAAAGGTAACGAATACTCTATGAAGGGTATAGAAAGATGTATACAATTTTAAAGGTATGGTGAGGTATTTTTCACTCTTTAAGCGTTACTTTTGTGCTAAAATCTATATTTTTGTAGTTCAACAGCTTAGAATTTTATAAAACAAATTCATAATCAAAATCGCTATGCTTAGTTAATCGAAAAATAACCAAGATGTGATTTTTGCGTAAATGTCACTAAACTATACAAATTGCTATTATCCTTCACACTATGAATGTTTCTTTTATGCGGAAGTGTCCCGTTTTTCGATTTGTATGGAACTGTCGTGTGCCGAAATACTATCAGAATCTTGTCAAGTGAGCTTCTGAATGTAAACAAAAAACACCCCATCTGGTGACCGAAGCTTCGGAGCAGTGCTTCACTTCTAATGCTGGTTTGGCCACTCCTTCCTTTCGTACCTCCATGGGGAACACGTGATTTAGACGGTCCTTGAATACTGTCGTTTCACTGTAAAGCTGTTTCTTCTGCTTTGGTCTCCACCCAGCAGTAAAACATTACCTAGATTGGCACTTATACAATATTTTGTAAGGGTATTGCTTAGTGTTTATATATCAATTCTTAATTTGCATCTATAGTTTTTAGTGTTTATCTCTGAAGTATATGTGTAGACGTTTTCCAGCGTGTCTAAATTATTTAGGCATCTTACATGTATACCAAGTGTCAAGATTGTTTCCATTTGGTGGCAACAATATCCAATAAAAAATTTTCACTTTCGAGGAACATTTTCTTTCTTTTCTTTTCAAATTTATCTTTAATGTATAATGTTGAGGTATAGAGTCTATGTCTATACTTTAAAATATGGAGTCTGTGTGGTTCTATTATGAGTCTGTCTCACATACCTTTCTAGTGGCTTCAATTTCGGGCCGTATCAACTGATAGCATGATTCGGAAAAACGGGGGCAGGCAGCTACAATCACTGTAGCCTATTATTATAATTACTATAGCTTGTTTGTGATTAATCACAAACAAGCTGCTAGGGATAGCCAACTTATTTTCCATATTTAAAATTTAAAAAAAATTCAATTGTATCAAGAATGTTTACTGCTTTTACATTTATTTGAAGGTGTTTTTTTAATAAAGAGATTTAAACAATAAACACTTATTTTTAAGTAATAATGTTTTAACTTTCTATATTTCATTGTTTTCCAACGAAATTTTGTGTGATAGTGAAAAATAGAAGGTCATATTTCTTTCAGCAATGCAATGCCTACGAGGAAAGCTAAAAATGCTACAAAAGGTTTTGAATGCAAAAGAAACGTTTTTTAAGATTTCACTGTGTATTTGTGAAAAGATGTTATGA